ACCGTGAACCTATAGACTGTTCCAGTCAGGCCTATCTGTTCTACAAGCTATGTCACAGCTGGGGACCATGGAGTGTTCCAGTCTAGTCTATCTGTTCTACAAGCTGCTTCATGGTCCCCAACTGTGAACCTAAAGACTGGTGGTCAGGCCTATCTGTTCTACAAGCTACTTCATGGTCCCCAGCCATGGTGGACCTTTAGACTGTTCCAGTCAGGCCTATCTTTTCGACAAGCTACGTCACAGCTGGGGACCATGGAGTGTTCCAGTCTAGTCTATCTGTTCTACAAGCTATGTCACCCAGCTGGGGACCATGGAGTGTTCCAGTCTAGGCCTATCTGTTCTACAAGCTGCTTCATGGTCCCCAACTGTGAACCTAAAGACTGGTGGTCAGGCCTATCTGTTCTACAAGCTACTTCATGGTCCCCAGCCATGGTGGACCTTTAGACTGTTCCAGTCAGGCCTATCTTTTCGACAAGCTACGTCACAGCTGGGGACCATGGAGTGTTCCAGTCTAGTCTATCTGTTCTACAAGCTATGTCACAGCTGGGGACCATGGAGTGTTAGTCTATCTGTTCTAGTCTAGTCTATCTGTTCTACAAGCTGCTTCATGGTCCCCAACTGTGAACCTAAAGACTGGTGGTCAGGCCTATCTGTTCTACATGCTACTTCATGGTCCCCAGCCATGGACCTATAGACTGTTCCAGTTCTGCTGCATCTGATTTACAAAATAAACGTATCATTCTGGGAGTATTCCCCACCACCCCAATTCCCCTCCCCAGTTCATTTAACTATAAACCCAGAAAAGACAAACCCCTAGACTGATCATTGAGCCGGAGTGAATGGACTGTTGCCGTGTGCCTGGCTGCCTCTGGACTGTCCTGGGAAAGAACCTTTTTACATCTACCTGGCCCCTGCAGGGGTAGCGCTACATACATATCGCTGAACTGCCAGAACAATGCGGTTCTTGTAAAAATGTATTAGTATGCCGGGTGATTAATGATGGATTCAGACAGTTTTTCTAATTTTTTTTTCTTTACTAAGTAGAATGTACGTTTAGCATTCTCGCCATTCACAGGCACTTCGCTAAAACTTCATAAAAAAGGCTGAAGGATGAGAAGCTTCCTCGGGGGCTCAGTGAAGGCCGGGGTAGAGTGCTGCGTTGTTAGCACCTCTCTCCGTACGTCCTCACATCGGCACAAATCCTTCATCTAATCAGACACTTTTATATCTCACATACTTAAACACACATCACAGGTGGTCCCATACCAATTCGTAGCCTCCTCACAGCCTCCCGTGGTAGAGCGTGATTTGCGGAACATGTCTAATTCCCTTTCTGTAGAATTACACGGAGTGGAGTGAACTGCTATGGCGTGTTTTGTGTACTTTTGGTGGGAAATAAACGTAAACAAATAATACATAAATTATTGAGCAATAAAAATGATGCTTACAGCAAGCTAACGAGTCTTCCGGTACTGGTGTGAGGTCTAATTACTGGCTGAGTAAGGAGGAGACCTCTGTATACGGTCACTGGGAACCTTCTAAGGACGGGACATTGTATAACATCTAATGTAGTGGCTGAGTTTAAGAAGTTGATGTTTTCATAGTTACATAGTTAGTCTGGCTGAAAAAAGACAAAAGTCCATCCAGTTCAACCATAGAAAAAAAAAAGGTACATTCCTACACCCACAGTTGATCCAGAGCAGTGTTTCTCAACTCCAGTCCTCATGGACCCCCAACAGGTCATGTTTTCAGGATTTTCATTATTTTGCACAGGTGATTTGATCAGTTTCACTGCCTTAGTAATTACCACAGCTGTTTCATCTTAGGGAAATCCTGAAAACATGACCTGTTGGGGGTCCATGAGGACTGGAGTTGAGAAACACTGATCCAGAGGAAGGCAAAAATCCCAGCAAAGCACGATCTAATTTGCTCCTGCAGGGGAACAAATTCCTTCCTGACCCCCCGAGAGGCAATCAGATATTCCCTGGATCAACGTTCCCTATAAATGTTATATCCAGTTATATTCTGTGTATCCAAGAAAGGATCCAGGACTTTCCTACAGCAATCCACTGAGCTGGCCACAACCAACTCTGGAGGGAGTCTATTCCACATTCTCACAGCTCTCACTGTGACCAAGGATGCTAAAAGCTCCTCTGTCCCAATATATCGATATATATCCACTTATGCCTGTATAAGCAGGTCCCTTCAGTTCCCGACTCTCCCGTGGGGGTCCACTGCATTACAGGGCTGCCAAGTGCAATCTCACGGCCCACACAGACCGCAGTCATCTGCTTGGAAACCCTACACTACACCATCCCACTGGTCCAAGGTAGCAGTGACCCATAAATTGGTAGGAGAACTTTTGCTGCAGGTCATTATGTCTCTCTGTGGTTGTCAGGGAAGGTGCAACATGTGCGCAGGTACATGAATCCTGGAAGCTGTTATGATCCGCCAGGTGGTACCCCTGGCAGCCCACCGGACAGGATTACCCAGAGCGTGGAGTCTAAGTCTCGGTCTGCGTATTCACCAGGGCCCCTGATGGTGGGGATGGACTTGAAGCAGACCAGGACCAGGTCACGACCTCTGAGCACTCCCACCCGTGGCAGAGGGGACCACAGGGGATGGATACAGGAGGAGAGCCTGATGAGAAGAGACCGGCAAGCCCAGGCGGGATGGATGGATGGATGGTCAGACAGCCCAGTCGTTACCATGGGAGCAGTGAGGTACAGAATCGGCAGGCAAAGGATAGTCGGGTCACTAGCGCTGGGTGGTCAGTCCGCAGGAGGTCAGATAAGGGGTTTAGGAGAAGGCAGCGTAGTCAGGGCAATCCGGGTCAAACAGGAACAGCTCAGGGTACAAACACAGGTAGCAGGAAAGACCTTGCTGGCAATTTGTGACAGCGCAGGGCATCTTTACATACACGCCCTGGCTGTCATTGGTTGCCCAGCGTGTACTCGCGGAGCCTACTGCGCATGGTCTCCTTCAGAGCCCGTTTGGAGCGAGCGCGTTGACTGCGCAGTGCCGGGAAACCCTGACAGAAGCCCTGTTCGTGCCATGGCACACATAGAGTCCTGATGAAGCTACGAGGGGCGTGGCGTAACATGTAGATGCCGTCCTACAGTCCAGCGTCTATAGTACACCAGAGAAGTACACCCATGTGAGGTGACACAGGCGTTTTGTACTGCAGCTGAAATGTGAGTTTGTACTTGGCGGTTTTCTTTTCATTAAAGCTTTCTATACAGTGGTACACTATGGAGGATCTCTGTTTTCTATTGTATGACTCCCAACATCATGTCTAAAGCATTCATATTGCTACCTGGCCATGGAGGAATAGTTGGAGGTGTTCACTGAAGGTGGTAGAGTCAATCCTTGCTTGGAACGGTGTAGGATCACCCGTAAGGCTTCTTGCCCCTGTGGGTCGCAGTAACCATGCCGCCATAATTACTCGCGCATGCACCGCGGAGCATGCTGTTTGTCATTGTGGAGCGTTTGCCGAGCGTTAATAACGCTCCGCAAACGCGGACCAAAGACTTGCCAAAAGCTATAGGGGCGTTTGGCAAGCGTTGGCAAAAACAGCCAAGTGGTGTAGGATCCGTGACCCTAAGGCCGGGAATTGCATGCCCCTGTGGGTCCAGGGGGAAGGTGGTGAGCATTACTCACTTTGAGCATAGCAAGTTTGTCATTGTTTGTGTGTGCTGTTGAGACACAAGCTAGACACCAGATATTGTGGACATTTACCGTATTTTTCGCTCCATAAGACGCACTTTTTTCCCCCAAAAAAGGGGGGGAAATGTCAGTGCGTCTTATGGAGCGAATATAAAGCGGCCGTCCGGTATTTTTGCGGCCACCATGTCAGGGCCGGCCAAAGCTGTTCTCTCCTGCGGGGCCTTACACCTCGCTCCAGCGCTGCACAGTCAATGTGACAGCGGGTGCCCACTGGTCAGTCCGCTTTGTGAGAGGGTCAGATAAGCCAGTTCCCAGGATAGGAGAAAAGGCAGCGTAGTCAGGGCAATCCGGGTCAAACAGGAACAGAACTCAGGGTACAGGAACACAGGTAGCAGGAAAGACCTTGCGGCAATTTGTGACAGCGCAGGGCATCTTTAAATACCACACTGTGTGCTGTCATTGGTTGCCCAGCGTGTACTCGTCTCTGGGAGCCTACTGCGCATGCACAAGTCTCCTTCAGCCGCGGCCGGGACCTAGTGCCCGTATCCCGGAGCGAGCCGCCGCGACTGCGCATGTGTCCGGGACAGACGCTGCGGCGGACCCTGACAGAAGCCCTGTTCGTGGCCATGTAGCACACATAGGCATGATCCTGATGAAGCTACGAGGGGCGTGGCGTAATGTAGATGCGACGTGGTGACAGTCCAGCGCCATCTTAGTACACCAGAGAGTTCTCAGTACACCCATGTGAGGTGACACAGGCGTTTTGTACTGCAGCTGAAATGTGAGTTTGTACTTGGCGGTTTTCTTTTCATTAAAGCTTTCTATACAGTGGTACACTATGGAGGATCTCTGTTTTCTATTGTATGACTCCCAAACATCATGTCTATATATGAGCATTCATATTGCTACCTGGCCATGGAGGAATAGTGTCTCTGGTGGAGGTCCGCAAGTTCACTGAAGGTGGTAGAGTCTCTGGTCAATCCTTGCTTGGAGAGATGGTGTAGGATCCTGGGTGACCCGTAAGGCTTCTTGGCCCCTGTGGGTCGCAGGGGGAAGGTGAGCGGGCATGCCTGCCATATAGGAGCATTACTCACTACTTGCACCGCAGGAGCATGCTGTTTGTCATTGTTTGTGTGTGCTGTTGAGACACAAGCTAGACACCAGATATTGTGGACATTTACCGTATTTTTCGCTCCATAAGACGCACTTTTTTCCCCCCAAAAAAGGGGGGGGGAAATGTCAGTGCGTCTTATGGAGCGAATATAAAGCGGCCGGTCCGGTATTTTTGTACGGCCACCATGTCAGAATACCGGGCCGGCCGTCTCTCAGCTGTTCTGTACTCCTGCAGGGCCTTACCTGATCTCCTCTGCTCCAGCGCTGCACAGTCTTCCCGCGCCGGCTTCTGTGACAGCCGGGTGCCCACTGCGCATGTGCTGCGCTTTGTGAATGATCTGGTGTCTTCTGAGACACATGACAGTCATCCCAGAAGGCAGTCTCGGGCCATTCACAAAGCGCAGCGGTCTTCTCCTGTACTATGTCGCAGTGGGCATCCCTGGCTGTCACAGAAGCCGGCATCCGGGTAAGAAGCAGGGAAGGTCAACTCCTGTAAGTGTCCGAGTCCTGTCAAATTCCTGTACCCGCTCCCCCATCCCTCCCCAAAGTCAGCAGTCTCTGGTCATTCCCTGTACTCTCCGCAGTCTCTGGTCATCTCCTGTACTGTGTCCACAGTCTCCGGTCATCTCCTGTACTGTGTCCCGCAGTCTCCGGTCATCTCCTGTACTGTGTCCGCAGTCTCTGGTCATCTCCTGTACTATGTCCGCAGTCTCTGGTCATCTCCTGTACTGTGTCCGCAGTCTCTGGTCATCTCCTGTACTGTGTCCGCAGTCTCTGGTCATCCCCTGTACTGTGTCCGCAGTCTCTGGTCATCCCCTGTACTGTGTCCGCAGTCTCTGGTCATCTCCTGTACTGTGTCCGCAGTCTCTGGTCATCTCCTGTACTGTGTCCGCAGTCTCTGGTCATCTCCTGTACTGTGTCCGCAGTCTCTGGTCATCTCCTGTACTGTGTCCGCAGTCTCTGGTCATCTCCTGTACTGTGTCCGCAGTCTCTGGTCATCTCCTGTACTGTGTCCGCAGTCTCCGGTCATCTCCTGTACTGTCCGCAGTCTCTGGTCATCCCCTGTACTGTCCGCAGTCTCTGGTCATCTCCTGTACTGTGTCCGCAGTCTCTGGTCATCTCCTGTACTATGTCCGCAGTCTCTGGTCATCTCCTGTACTGTATCCGCAGTCTCTGGTCATCTCCTGTACTGTGTCCGCAGTCTCTGGTCATCTCCTGTACTGTGTCCTCAGTCCTGTACTATGTCATCTCCTGGTCATACTATGTCCGCAGTCTCCGGTCATCTCCTGTACTGTGTCCGCAGTCTCTGGTCATCTCCTGTACTGTGTCCGCAGTCTCTGGTCATCTCCTGTACTGTGTCCGCAGTCTCTGGTCATCTCCTGTACTGTGTCTGCAGTCTCCGGTCATCTCCTGTACTGTGTCCGCAGTCTCTGGTCATCTCCTGTACTGTGTCTGCAGTCCATTGGTTCAGAATATTTTTTTTTCTTGTTTTTCGCCTCTAAAACCTAGGTGCGTCTTATGGAGCGAAAAATATGGTATATCACTATTACTTATATAGATCACCTATTTAAGGTGACGCATAACCCTGCATAGGGAATCACTGTGTGTCACGGCAATGATAATATGATCACTTGGATATATATATATATGTTTGTTTTACTGCACGTATCACCTATACGTGTCACAAGTATATGTTTTTGGTTGATAGCATATTGATATTTATATTGTAGAAGCAGTGTTGTACTTAACCAAAGGGTTATATAAGTCCTTACAGCGCTACATCACTAGCATATTAGTTTTATCCTGAAGCATCTGTTCATCTGTTCCATATTGCTCTCCTATCACTGACCTGACCTGCTCATGACTCTGCCTGAATGCTGCCTACACTGACTCCTGGCTTGCCTCTGGACTACACTTCTATCTAATCCTTCTGCTCATCTGCCCTGCTGGTACCGAACCCAGCCTGGCTCCCAACTACTCTTCTGCCTGCCGTCTGTGTCTGATCTTCCTGATAGTTCCTAACCTGGACTGTCTGACCTTGCTTTGGCTCTTATCCCTGCACCTAAACCAGCTGAGCTGTGCCTGACATCAGCTTCGGTTCTTCTGCCAGCATGCTACCATTCAGCTGCTCCTGCATACCTGGACGCTCAACAGCATCCGCCAGCAGAAGTCTTATCCGGCACTCATGCCTCTCGGTGCTCTGGTGTTCCCTGTTACTTTATCAGGGCACCTGACCCAGAGCTGCCAGAGAGGCCTTCCTCTGCACTTCAGGCTCTATCACCAAGTATTTTACAATGGTTCCAGATCAAGGCCCCAACAGGTCAACCAAACATCTGGGACCCATGTCGCATGGGGGGGGGGGGGCAGGTCACCTGGGGTATGTACTGTAGAGGGGTCTTCTCCTCAGTACCAGAAGGAGGAAGTCTTCCGTGACCACAATAAATCCCATACCAACCAGGTTTGCAACATGTACCCGCTATTCAAGATCATGTGCACCAGTAATGAGCTCAGGTGGGTTCCTGACCACCACCACTCCCAACCTGACCAGGTTTGCATCATGTACCCTCTATTCAGGATCCTGAACACAAGTGATGAGCTTAGGTGTGTTCCTGAACACCACCACTCCCAGCCCGACCAGGTTTGCACCATGTACCCTCTATTCAGGATCATGTACACAAGTGATGAGGTCACGTGTGTTTAGATATGAGTCTGGACCCATCTGAGCTAGCCCATCAGGAAGCTGTCAAAGCTGACAGCCATATGTAGGTGGATGAGGCATTCCTCATTGTACAGTCGCACCTATACATGTCCCTTGCATACTGTATGTGGCTACAGAGTGAGGAATGCCTCCACCACCTTTGATTGGCTGTTGGTTTTGACAGCTTCCTGGTGGGATACCTCCTGTCTACACACACCTGAGCTCCTCCCAATCCGCTAGCATTTGTGCAAGGTTTTATGAGTTGCTCCCATCTAGTCACCTGCATCTTAACAGTGTACAGGCCAAGCTCAAACTCTTCCACCCAGGTGTTAGCCATCCATTCGAATAATATCACACCGGCCAGAAGCTAAGTTCATGCCTTTTACTAAGTGCTTGCAGGTTACACATCAATATTGCAGCATCTCTTTCCCAGTCAACATAACCACAACAACTGTAGCATTCTAACCCGCTACCAGGGATGTGATAAAGATCCCTCGTCCCACAGTCAGGGGTGCCCTTCAGCCAAAATCCCAATTCTAGGGGTGATCTTTAGAGATGAGCGAATCGAACTTGGCGAAGTGGAATTCGTTTCGAATTTTAGGAAAAATTTGATTCGCACCGAATCCGAATATTAGCAAACTTCGGATGCGCGAATCGAATTTTTCCCGATCGGCCGATTTTCATCCCTTCTACAGCCGGCAAAAAGTGTCCCTGCAGAGAGCTCCGCTATTTCTGACAGTTCTCTGACAGTTCCTTCACATTTACAGCGGTTGAAACATTGTATCTATTTGTTTCCATTTAGGATACAGATGTTTTTATTCGGAAACAAATAGATACAATGTTTCAACTGCTGTAAATGTGAAGGAACTGTCAGAGAACTGTCAGAAATAGCGGAGCTCTCTGCAGATACACTTTTTGCTGGAATGGAATTCTTCTTCATCCTCATCCTACTTCTTCTTCTTCTTCATCTTCATCCTCATCCCACTTCTTCTTCTTCATCCTCATCCTACTTCTTCTTCATCCTCATCCTACTTCTTCTTCTTCTTCATCCTCATCCTACTTCTTCTTCTTCATCATCCTCATCCTACTTCTTCTTCTTCTTCTTCTTCTTCATCCTCATCCTACTTCTTCTTCATCCTCATCCTACTTCTTCTTCTTCTTCATCCTCATCCTACTTCTTCTTCTTTCTTCTTCATCATCCTCATCCTACTTCTTCTTCTTCTTCTTCTTCATCCTCATCCTACTTCTTCTTCTTCTTCTTTTTTCATTCTTCTTCTTTTCATTCTTCTTCTTCTTCTTTTCTTCTTCTTCTTCTTCTTTTCATTCTTCTTCTTCTTCTTTTCATTCTTCTTTTCATTCTTCTTCTTCTTCTTTTCATTCTTCTTTTCATTCTTCTTTTCATTCTTCTTTTCATTCTTCTTCTTCTTCTTCTTTTCATTCTTCTTCTTCTTCTTTTCATTCTTCTTCTTTTCCTTCTTCTTTTCATTCTTCTTCTTCTTTTCATTCTTCTTCTTCTTCTTTTCATTCTTCTTCTTCTTCTTTTCATTCTTCTTTTCATTCTTCTTCTTCTTCTTTTCATTCTTCTTCTTCTTCTTTTCATTCTTCTTCTTTTCCTTCTTCTTCTTCTTTTCATTCTTCTTCTTCTTTTCATTCTTCTTCTTCTTCTTTTCATTCATTTTTCATTCTTCTTCTCATTCTTCTTCTTTTCATTCTTCTTTTCATTCTTCTTCTTCTTCTTTTCATTCTTCTTCTTCTTCTTTTCATTCTTCTTCTTCTTCTTTTCATTCTTCTTCTTTTCATTCTCTTCTTCTCTTTTCATTCTTCTTCTTTTCATTCTTCTTTTCATTCTTCTTCTTCTTCTTTTCATTCTTCTTCTTCTTCTTTTCATTCTTCTTCTTTTCATTCTTCTTCTTCTTCTTCTCCTTCTTCTCCTTCTTCTTCTTCGTCGTGCCCCGTGACTGCCCAAATGAGTGAAGTGTGCGGTGATTCTAAGATCGACAGCACTCATCTGCATGTCATACTGACTGTCAGTATTATTTCTCTTCCCCAGCAGACTCCAAGGACATTTAAATTAAAGGTACAGTGTTCTGCACTAATATAAAGGCTCTCTGAAGCCTAGAAACACCCTTTTATAAGTTAAATTCGCAGCGAATAAATTTGCATCGAATCAAATTTCTTCTGCAAATTCGGTGAATCAGCCGAATCGAATTTTTGAATAATTCGCTCATCTCTAGTGATCTTCTCCTGGGAAAGTCCACAAAGGGGAAAAACAAGAACACTCCCTCAAGTCCTAAGCCTAACTTAAATGGGAACCTAATAACCCCTGCCTACTCCTAGCTCCATCACAATAAATGAGGGATTCTGGGAGCAAGATGACTGAACCTGAAGCAATACAGGTATATCCACCCCTGTACATGGCGATGATGCCATTGCAGATGTAGTTTGACAATTCCATCATTCTCCGCCTCTGAAACCTTTGCCATATTTGTGTATTGGAAGCCTTCAAAAATGTTCTAGGGCACATGAAGACCTCCAGTGAGTGGAAGACAGCTGAAGCCTTCCCAAGCACAAGAATAAAGTACACCAGAGAAAGTGCGCAGATCCCAACCACCAAACCGTTCCATTCTACGGAAAAAAATCATTTTGTTACCTGTTGATAGAGAGTTTCTGTGCTAACAGCTGCCAGTCCTTTCCTTTGGAGTTAGGCGTGTCAAATGTCGCACATATCCTCTGCCTGATGGAATGGGGGATTTTGAAGGCCTTTGGACCAGTGTGTGCCAGGAAATTGGTCTCCTCAGGTGCAAAGAAAGCTATGGTCTCCCGTTCGTTCTAAAAGGAAAAGATCAAGAGATGCTGATCAGTGAATTATAATATTATTATATCCATAATTCCAAGGTACAAAAAAAAAACCCATGACTTTCAACACCTATGGGAACATAAGATTCAGAGGAATGAAATACTGGGAGATCACATAATTAATTGTATTATACGAAGAGCCTCAGATTAGATATTCACATTATGATGACCTTTATCTTTGTACATTTTACTCTCCAATGTTTACTGTGAATGGATTAAGGAGCTCCAGCAGGCCCAGGGGAAGTCATTTCATACACAACATGGTGATGATTATCCCCTACACAGCATCCTGTGATATTTCCCTTTCTCATGTGATTGTCACCACTCAAGGATGGGAAAGTGTCCCACATTGTGATGATTTCACGTTTCTAGAAGCACAGATGTAAAGAATGAAGGCCTCCAAAAGCACTAAAAATGTAGGGATCGTCTCCATGCCAGGAATCCAGCATT